AAGTAATGTAATTCAATAAAGTGTGTTAAAAAACATGTTTTTTTTTTAATCTACCTAAAATTTAAGTAAACAGATAAAAACGTCAAAAACATCCCATTAGACCGATGTAAATTTTGAAACTTTTGGTGTTTTAAACACAGTGTGTTTAAAACGTACAACGTGGAATTTAATTAAGGTGATCTACCTATCATCGAACTACACAGAGTATTCAATAAGTAAGGAAACATGTAAATTATTATAAACAATGAGAACAATAGTGAATCGTTTCCTTGAGTAATGAATCCTTATTTATTGAACACCCTGTATAACTGGTACTGCTGTAAATTGTACCTATATTACAATTGAAGAATTACATAGAAGTAAAAAAATTGTATAATGTACATAATTTGTAAAAAATTTATTTTAATCGACGTAAAGGGTTTATTTAAAAACTGCTTTAAATTTAAAAAATATTCGTGATGTTAACAATTTTAACACGACAATAGTGATTGCAATTGACAAATTAATAATTACAATCGTGTACAATGTAATTTGATATTAAACATACGTCATATAATTAATTTATCAGTTTACATTTTACATATAGATGTTTGATTGATATTAAATTTTATAATATTTGATAGGTGTTAAAAAAATTTGAAACCAAGTTAATAGTAAATTACCATTATATTATATTAGCTGTATTACTACACAGCTAAGAATTTATATTATATATGAATCAACATAAGTATGTACAGTCTGGCTCATGATTTAGCTCAAAGTATACTAATTTTCAAACAGCTCAATGCAATTTTAAAAATATAATCCTCCTCCAAAATAAGTATACAGAGTGATCCGTTTAACATAAGCTACTCAAAATAAATACAAAAATTAAAATGAATTGTTAGTTTTTTTTAGTTACATTTATTTTTTAATTTATTAGTTATTAAATTTTTTTTAGCATCATCCTTTACATCTTATAGAGATGTTATAACATCATTTATTTCCGCTATAAATCGATTCAAGCAAAACCAACAAATTAGAGTTAACACTTAAAATAATAGATAATATATAGTAAGACTAAATTTTTATAGTTATCTATTTTGGCATCTACGTGAAGATGATACAATATTAATTTTACTATAACAAGTTTAATTTAAAATTTTTTTTTTTTGTCTGTTAACACTTTTTCTCAGCTCTAACTGGATCGGATTCACTAAATAATACATCAAAAAATCTCATATCGTATCTAGTTTAAGACATTACTCTTAAAAAATGGAAAGTATTTCTCTCATTCTCCATTAATGGGGCAAATTCCCAAAATATTACGATTTTAGAATTGTTAAATTTCGACATTTTTAAATTTTATTTACTTGTATAAGTAACATAGTACTTATGGATGAATTAAACAATTTTTTTTATTAAAACCTTAGGTATGTTCCTTTCATTAGGTATTTATTTATTGAAAAACTGACTCTTTACCTATCAACGGAGAAGGATTCTAATAAAAGTATCTTTTGTATATAAAACAATTAAAGCTTATAAAATAAAATTTAATTTAACTAGTTTATAATTTTTCCAAGAAATTACTATATTAAAAATTGACTATTAATTTCATACTAAATTTAATTACTATAGTAAGTATTTATTCATGTAATATCATAGGCGTAAATCAAGAAAGAAATCAAAAATTAATCCTAAAAGTTGCCATAACCCCTCTTTAAAATTAAAAAATAATTAGATGTATTTTTATACAAAAAAATTGGGGTTAAGAAAAAATCAATTTAGCCTCCACAAATGTTTTCATAAATTTACGCCTATGTGTAATATACATAAATTTAATATAATAATCACTATATAATTAAAGATAAAGGAATTGATGTTGGTTTTGGAACAATCTCATAATTTCTTCTACAAATTAACTACTCTACAGAAATAAAACGTTTTTTTGAAAGATATTTTTATCACTATCATAAATCATCTATACAAATATGAGCTTTAACTTTTACCACAGTATAGAAAATTGTTTTAATTTAAAAAGATCATTTTCTTGAGTATCCTCCAAATTTGAGCTATGTATAAGTCTCAAGTTATTCAATTGATAAGTTAAAACTTTATTTTTGAGAAGTTTATATAATTTTTACAACAGAATTATTATTTATAACTATTTGATATAGTTATTATGATTATTATTACTATTATTATTATAGCATAAAAATTAAGAAAATTTTAGTTAAAAAGAAAAAAAACAACTGTGGGGTCGTGATACAATGGGATTGTGTTATAGTTGGAACAAGTATAAATGATAATAGTTAATCACTATTATAAAAAATTCTTTTATGTGAATCTGGTAAATTTTGTAATAATTTGGGTATTTGTAAATTTTCCAATAATTATGTGATGGTTTTTTTAATATTGTAGTACAATTTAAGAGCTTTAGTTTGATATAAGTTAAATTAGGGTAGACGTCCTAAAATATTTTCAAAAATTGAGTTAAAAATTTTAAACCTCTCCAGAATTTAGGATTTTCATAGAAATCATACAAAGGAAAAGCTTTTTGTCTCAAAAATACTCTATTTAATTTTTTTTAGAGTCAGAGTTTTAAAAGTTTTTAAATAAAGAAAACAAAAAAATTGAAAAAGCTATTTTTTATAGTAGCGTAAATTTTTAACATTGAGGGAATTTTTCAAATTTTATGTGACGATAAAATTAAATCGATTCAGTGAGAGCTGTGAATTTTCATGGACAGGAAAAAAACACAACCCATCATAAAATCAACAACTCTTCAGCTACACATTGGAGCTAATGAAAAAATAAATAAATATATATATTTGTCATAATATATTATTTCAGGCATTTAAATCTTTAACACCACTCTGGGTAATTAGTAAGATATAATATATTGAATTTTATGTTCATGGTCGTTTTAAAGGTAAAACAAGCATTGTCAATAAACATAAAATCATCAATTGTTGAAAACCATGTATTATTTTTTAATAATATTATTAAAGTTAAAAATAATTTTATAATGGTAAAAATTAACTTTAAATTTATTTTACATAAATAAAAAAATAATTTTTTACCATGATTAATTTTAAATTGAGTTAGATGAATCAGTCTTTAAGACTTTGGCGAATATTATATTTCTATATGGGTATTTACCATTTTATTATCTGAAAAATAATTCTATTGTAAGACCATTGTGCAATTCGTTAATTTATTTAAAAACTTTATTTTTCTTATATATCCTATAAATTTGAAACAAAATGAATAATCGTAAATAGAATAAAACAAATTATTTTTTAGTTTGAATAAAAACAATACTTTAAAAATTAATAAATTAAAAATTAAATAGAATTAAAAATAGTAATTTTGATGTGTAATATAGTCATTAATTTTCACATTTCTTGAAAAATTTGAATAGTTTAATTTAAAATATATTGGGTACAAGCATTCGAAGAATTCATTAGACAAATTATGACATTTTATTGTTGAACTTAGATAGGATCCTATGATAACTGGTTAAAAGAAACGTATTTAAAAAAATATGTTATTTAATCAAGAGGTGTACATTTTTGAATGTTTGTGTTGCTTCAGCCATTAAAGATTTCAAGAATAATATACATGCCTATTCGTTAGACTGTTCCAACCAAATCGAATAAATTCATTCCCCTATTTACCAATAATAACTATGAAACTACAATGGCTTTTTGGGGTGCTAGATTGCCGAATTCAATATAAGTAATTGACAGTACAATTGAGGTGGTTACTTCACAAAAATGAATTTGACATGGTACGCAAAGAATTCACGTAGGGTCGGTGCAGAAACCGATCGATTCCTTAAAATTGAGCTCGTACCACATTTCAGTTTTTGTGTTTACGAAAACTTTTTGGTGAAAAATGATTCTACTTGAAGTAAATAGATATTTATTGACAAATAATATTTTTGGAAAAAGTTGTTAATGTTAATCAATTTAAGTTAACTATGTAGGTGTATTAATATAAGTTTTCAGTTAATTTAAAATCGTTATGTAAACTAATTTTAAGTTAGGCTTACGTTTGAAAAAGTATAAAAAACTTCTGTTATGCCAATATTAAAAAAAAATTAACGTTTGTACACTCGGCATACATTTAAATTAAAATAAACATGTCCTTATTATTATAACAAAAATTATTTTTATGTAAAAACAATTCAACAAAAACGCTTAATAATATTGACAATTGTTACTAATTAAAGACAAATTGTATAAAAATTTACTAAAAAACTTCAAAAATTTAAAGGCATGATCAAAGTCCGTCTAGCCATATTCAAATCTATGATTTAGTTGTTATTTTTATTACTGTAAATTATAAACACATTTGAATGATTATTTGCTAAATAAGCAAAAAATGTACATTGATTTAATTTAAAGTTCAACTTAAGTTTATAAATATAATTTTATTCAACAAAACTCATATGACCCATTGTCATGTCTAATTAGTCAATATTATTTGAATTTTCTATTGTTCATCCTTTAATCACTATTGACGTAGCATATCGTTCAAATTAATTATTAAAGTACACGCAAGAACCACACGCAAGTTAAGTAATATTTTATTAATTCGGTAGTGTATGCAGTGCCGTATTCAGGGGGTAATTGGGGTCAAACCCCACATCGTATTAAAAAATTTTACCATGCCGATAAATAATCTTTACATTATAAACTTCAAAAACCCTTTCAAAAGTCTACCGCGTCAATACTTTTATTTATGTATGTAAAAACATAAATAGTTTAAATGATAAATACTATATTACTGATTGGTTACTGTTAGAAAATTTATTCATTTGGGATTAAAAAAAAGTTTTTATTTGACATTCAAAAATGATTATGTCAGATGATGTAAAATAAAGGCTCACATTTCTAGAAATTGGATTTTAGTTATGAAAAAATCCACTTGCTCTATCATAAAATGAAAGCGTCTTTATAAACTCAATGAATATCAAGTTATATAGTTAAGTGACTATAAAATAAATACATTGCTAATATTTACTTTAATTTTATTATTATTTTTGTCCTAAATTATTCATTTTAGCATACAAATACTGTATTGATTAAAACCATTGTTTCAAAAATAGAAACTACAATAAATCCTTTGGGAATAGATTTTTAGTAATCAATGTTGTTTTGGGTCTTTTATCGTAGCATAGGCTGCGTAGGAGGCTATTGCGCATTGGTTCCTTCCACGAGCCATATACATATAGCCATTATCACCCCACAGAGAACTCCACCAGTTTTTAAGTATCCATGCGTTTTTTGTATAGCCTATTAACAACATAGCGTGATTAACATACGTAGAAGAACACATTGGATCATCATATATTCCAGATCTGCAAATAAAAATTCAAGCGTGACGTTTAAGTAGATATAAACAGTTTTTATGATAAAATTAAACATATTTGAAGGCTTTTGAATCCAATGAATTTCATCTAAACATACCATAAATTGTTAAAGTTTTTTTTATCATTGTTTTTATTATATATATTTGTTATCTAAATTTCTTACGAGTATAACTGAAAAGTTTTCGGACTTGCATTGACTGAAACACTGACGGGACCCACAAGAGCAACTGTTGCTTTCAATGCATGTTCATCAAACGGTGGTAAGATTGACCATGAAGATATCTGAAGAATAGCTTTGAACTTTCTAAAATGACATAAAGTCTCCTATATTTCAACAACATTTATTTTAACAATTAATTCTAAATAGGATAAAAGCCAGAGATGTATGTTTAAAATTTGGCACTCGTTCGTTGTCATATTAGAAATATTCGTAGGAAAGAATGCCCTGTATTTAGTTATTAACATTTATTTAATTATAAAATTTTACCTTATATTACTTGTTAAATTAATTTTTTTTTTAATACTAACATGAAAACATTATTAAAAAACATTTGGAATTGTATTATATATATAATGATATAATTTGGTATCATTTTATTGATGATCTTATAGTGTCACTTCTTAATGTTTATTAGAGATTGAATGATGTATGATCAGGCTCATATTATGAGAACAATGGCCTGAGCTAGTTTTATAATTTTTTTTTGTATTTGACAGTTATTTTTTGGAAAAGGAAATTTTTTATAGTAGATTTTTTTAGATAGGAGGGGGGTCGGGGCCGGATTAAGACTTATAGAGGGTAGTAATTTGAGATGGGGCCCCCCTATGGAATATATCACTGCCATAAATAAAGTAATGACTAAAAAACAAAATCCAAAAATACTGTAACTAATCCATGACTAGGCTAGTAATATTTGAAATTCCTCGGGGCGTCCGTTCCCTGCCCCCAATCTAGGTTAATAGGGGGGTATTTGATCTGTTATAGGACCACTTCTACTAATGAAGTAAATGAAGACTTAAAAATTGTTGCGGCCTTCTCGCACAAAAATAAGAGCATTGAGTAAAAAATACAATTTTAATATCACTTATATTACGCTATTAAAAATGGTTCGTATTTTAACAATTTAAATAGTTAATAAAAACATGGTTAGTCCCCTGCGAACGATTTCTTTTAAAATTATATATTAATATATGAATGTGATTGAAAATATAAAAAACATTATTTAAAAATTAACAAATATTGTAAACGCAATACAATTATGTAAACTAAAATTAATTGAAAATCCTGTATTATTGATAGAAAAATTTCATATAAATTATATTCTATGGCATGCATTTTGTCTTTTTATGATAAAAAAGTTTTACTGTGATTAAATTTTATTCAAATTGTGTCATCCGTGTAAAAATGTTTATAAATATTCATTTAGTGTTTATATTATCTATGTCAATTAGAAAAAATTCTACTCAATAAATTAGTTTCACCATTTTTATAAATTTTCATTGAAAAATAACTTCGTATATATTATATTTGATTTTATATTTTGTAAAATTGTGTTTATAATACGTGTAAAAAAGTTTTAGTGCTGCCAATCATATTTATAAATAATTAGTGTTCATTAGAAATTATCTAAGACCAGGTACGTTTATACTTTTTCTTTAAATTCAAAATTATGTCATAATACTTCAAGTTAATTGTAATTTATTTTACAAAATGGAACAGGGAATTAAAGTAAGAAAACTCAAACAAATATTAAAAGTTTTTCATTACTGAATTTAAACACTTATGCTTGAACATATCTGTCAATATATTCCACCTAAAAGATCATTTAACATTTTTAAAAGATTCAATCATATTACGTTGTTTATTACTATAATCATAAATGACGATAACTATTTACAGTCGTTATAAGTAAGATTCGATTCTATACGAACTATATTTAAATATACAAGTTAATAAGAAAAAAGTTTAATCATGTGTCATTTGTTAAAAATGTCTTTTTGTAGACAGTATTTATTTTTAAATAAAATAATAATTTTATTACAAATTTTATTTTTTTATAATAAAAATTTAATTTTAAATAAATAAAAATTATTCAGGTTACGAATTTATAAAAAAAATTATTTTGTATCTTCGAGTTTTAATTATAGCCAGTAATTAAAAACAGTAAATACTTGTTTAATTATTTTATGTAGAATTTTAATTTATTAAATAATAATTATTAATTTTAATTATAGCTTTCTTTTAAAATTTCTAATAACCCATTTAAAGTTTAATTAAAAAAATTATTTTATCCATTATTTGAGTGAACGATTAAAACTTAAAGTTAAATTTAACTTTCAATAAGTAATATTTTTATGTCTGGCTAAACATTTTTTAACACCAATCTTAATTGTTTTTTTTTTTAAATAAAAACCAATGTATATAGCTTACTTTATGTTAATTCTTGACGAATAATGTGGATAGTGAAATAGTTTTTATTGTTTACAGATCAAGTTATTAAGGCAATATGACTTCATTTTCGAATTTTTCTTGCACTCAGCAAGAATTAGATCAAAATAATGACTATTTTCCTGACCAGCCTATGATTAGATTAAATTATGGTCGTGAAATAATTTTAATGGAACTGTCACAACTTGATAAGATTATCGATAAAGAAGTGATAGATACAATCGAAATAAAAAACGTTGAATTGGGTGAATATATGATGAAACAGTGTGAACAAAATTTACATTGGTTTTCATACACATATGATAAAGCATTACAAAAGGGTAAAAAAAAATGCGTTAAAAAAAGTGATTTACAAGATGCTTATGAAAAACCAGTTAATGAAAAGTATAATAATTATAATTTATTAAAATAAGTTAAAATGTAGAATAGTTACAATATTTTTTCAATAATTTCATAATTAAAAACTATGTTAAAAAAGTTTTTTCTTTGGAACTACACTTTTATGAAGTTCCATACAACATGCATGGATAATTTTTGATTCTCCAATGATTTATACAAATTTTTAGCATATTATATCAAAATTCCACACTCGTACGTTATTAACCTGCATATTAATATTATCATACAGATATGTAGGAATTTTCGGATCATTTCTCATAGTACAATTATCGAAAAATAATTATACATTATATTTATAGTAAAATATAATTTATAAAAGAAAGAAGTGCAAATTATATTATTTTTTGGGTAGTTATGTAAATAACTTTGTAATTATTTCAAAATGTACCTTAAAAATAAATCATCATAAATAATTTTTTTACTGATTTCACAAAATCATGTTATTGAAAATTAAATTATTTTTATTATTTATAAGTTATTATTAAATTTATGTTTAGTTATAGTGGTGATGATAGACTATCAGAAGTCAGTATGTCCGAAGCTAAAATACCTGATGTGGTAGATTTGACAGTAGTTGATGATACTGATATCCCAGTTGTATATCACAGCTCATTCCCGACTCAAAAACATAAAAAGAAGGAACCCCTTGGAGAATATTCTCTGTTTAAAGCTTCAAATGAAAAGCAAAAGGAATTCTCAGTGTATACAAACAAAACTATTGATTCGGAAAAAAAATCAGAGTCATCTCGTAAAGAGTCGAATACCCGTTTCAATTGGTCACCAGCTTCAAATGTAACATTCCAAAATTCAAAGAATCAAAATTCGACATCAAAATCATATTATTATGTTAATAATAAAGAAGATAGGAAACGATCATACCAAAACATGTATTTTTTGGCGTCTAATAATCAACACAGGAATAATTATGTAACGAAACCTGAAAAAGAAGTAGTTTCTAAAAAACAATGTAAGTACAATAACTACTTGACGAACCCTGAAAAAGAGACATTTGCTGAGAACAAAGAAAAAAAAAAAATAACATTTTCTTCGTATTTGAAAGAAAAAATAGTTAATGGTGAAGTTGATGAAAGTCTAACGTCAGCAGCATTAGCTTCAAGAGCACTGATAGATCATTATCACAAGAAAAACTTGAAAAGCCAATATTTACAAATAGTGCGAAGTGGAAGTACGGCAGAAGTTAACGATGAAGAATTTAAAAATATTATCGAATCGTTAAATGTATATTATCCACAATATGCAAATATAATCATAAAACCTGTTGAGGAAGAGGGGGATAATAAAAACGCGTGGCAACCGCCACCGTTGCATGTGCGCATAATAAAAGATTCAACGGCCCAATTAATTTGGAAGTCTCCAGATCCTTCATCTAATTTTCCCATTAAACAATATATAGAATCTTATGAACTTTATATTGGTTATAGAATAAAACCATCTACAGATATTGGCGAATGGATACCTATGGGAAAGATTCCAGCAACATTCAATTCAATGTACTGTGAAATAGCAGGGCTTTTAGGTGGACGCGTATATATTTTTACTTTAAGAGCAATAGATAATATAGGTAAATTCAGCCAGTTTGGGCTCAAAGAATTGGATGTTTCAAATATTTAGTCTCAAAATCATTGAATAATTTTATAATTTGTTATTATATATTTTAATTTTTTATTGAATATCTTTGCATTACTAATGATACTTAATAATTAAAATATTTTTACTTGCATTTTGTCTTTTGATAAAAAAATATTTATTTATTTAATTAAAAAATATCATCATTAATTATTAACAATGAACTAATTAAGAACTTAATAATATATTAATAGGAGTAATATACAATAGTTATATATATTACCTTTGCTTTGTATGTATAATCTATTCCTTGCATAATACCTCCAACTCTTTTAATGTACTCTAAAGTATTTCTAAACGATCCTCCAGAGCAACCTAGATTCCCATATGCAATTGAACAATCAATAATTTGTTGTGAACTGTTAATAAGTATTAAAGATTGATGTAGTATAAGCTTTTTAAATAAAAAAGTTGTATAATTAATATTCAATTTGATTAAGTGTGCATATATTTTGGTTACTAAATTCATTTAAATATTTTTAGAATTTGTCTCTAATATTCAACTGTTATTCTTGTTATAATTTTATTCATTTTCGCATTTTTAAAGCAATGTTTATAGTGTAAAACTTAAGACTTTGTGCACATAATTTTCAAATAAAATTGATAAAAGTGTAGACCTAAGTATTCACCTTAATGTATGTAACTTGCCAGTTTCTTTAAAAAGTTGACCTTCTAACATACTAGCGATGCTAAATGCGTAACATGCTCCACAATCTAGTTGATTCCAAGCAGGAGTTTTAAATCCTTTATCCCGCCAATCAAACTATGCACATAATTTTATTGTAATTATTATTATTTTTTAAATTTAAGTTATAATGTACATTTTTCGAATAAATACCTCTTCAGGAAGTTGTGTGACATTATGATGTCGATGAATATTTGATATTACTACTTTTTTAGAAGCTGGTAGTTTACTATGAGAGAGCCTTGTGAAATGTCTGTCATACATTTTAGGAGGCTATAATTTAATGAAATAAAATATAAATAATGATGGATATGTTGCAGAAATATATACATATTTAATATTAATTGTCCTTAATTACTTATAATAATAAGGAAAAATTAAATTATTTTTATAATATTCATAACTTAACTCATTGGAACTTAATTCATTTATATATTAAACAAAATCAATTGAAATTTTTTATAAAATTTATAATTATGTTGAATAAACTTATTGGCTGCATGTAATTTGCATTAAAAACTATTGAATAATATTTTCAAAGCTCAGCAAATCAAATATAAAATAGAAGACATAGACTAATTAAAAATTATCAATTTATAATTAACAACATAGTAAAGCTTTCAATAGTTTTTAAGGTACTTGATGATGAAATTTTTATTATTTTTCATCTGATTGTTTAAAATTAAGTGTTATGAAAAATAATAAACGTAAATTTATAGCAACCAAATACGATCACTAAAAAAACTATCATTAGAATAAAAATAAACGTAATTGTAAAATATCATTTTCGTTATTGAATAAAAAATAAAACCTCTGGTAAATTAATATAATTTAAAATACACCAAGTCGTTAAGCTCACCATATCAGATAAATGATTAAGATATAGTGTATAATTGTGTTTTCCATCTTTGGCTTCATCATTATGTTTCTTGGTATGATGAAAATTTTCTTCCCATACTAATCGATGATGTATTTCCTTTGTCCTTGAGTAAGTCTTATTATGTGTATCCTAAATTGTAGAAATAAAATTAAAAAACACATAATGGTGAAATTAATATCTTCTCAGTTTTACATCGAAGCTATGAATAACGCAATTTGGATATCATATAATGATAAGCAAAAAATATTCATATAAGAACTATAAATAATTGTTAGTTTATTTCGAAAAAAATTTTTTATGATTTTACTTTAAAAATATTCCAGTGTAAATCTAATTGAGGAGTGTATTTAGCTTTTAGTGTGTGTCCCAAATTACAAAACGCCAATAAAAGAATCACACGTCTAAATAAAATTTAAAAGGTTTTAATGAAAATTAATAATCATGTAAAAATTAAAGGAGATACTAACCTGAGCTCATTCCACATATTATAAAATAATCATTAGGATTAAAAATTAATTAAATAAATATATATATATAACTTAAAAAAACACTATACATATCCATTTAGCATTAGACTTCTAACGTTTGTGCGACGTGTTAAAGTGTATTGGAAATGTCTATTGTAATTATTGCTCAATATTATTGAAACAATAATATTTATTATTGTTATTGTTAAGTACTTAATCTAGTATAAATGCCTCATCGACTAATTTTTTTTGTAACAAAAAACAGAAGTTGATTTTAATTTAATGTGTAAAAAATATATTGATTATAATTTATATAATTGTATAAATAGATAGTATAATAAAAAATGTATGTAATCTTTCAAAAAGAATGTCTCTTACTATGAAATTTTAAAAATACTTTTGTATTGAGACATTTATTTTTCAATAGGTAATAAAAAATTATATTGTCAACTATTTACAATGCCACTTGAACTACAGCTTTTAATTAAAAAAATTTTCGGTTAAAATTCTTGCAGAAATTTTTTTTTTATTATTTTCCAGAAGACTATAAAATATGAAACATAAGTCGAGAAATGTTATGAACTATAAGTAGGGTATTCGAAAAATTGCTTACACATCATTTTCATAATGCGGAACGTTTATATTCATTATTATATAACATATTTAACGTAAAATTTGTGTAGATTTAAAAATAAATAACTTTAATAATGTGTTGTAATCATTTAACCAGATACAAAAGACTTACTAATTTACAGTAGACTGATATAACTAAAATAATATTGTCAGCGCCCTCTAGCCACATTTAGATTTTTAGTTACACACTTGAAGGTTTTTAAACATTTAGGCGATGTGCCTTTTTAAATATTAATATATTCTTTCACATCATAGAACGGACATTAAATTTCTTTATTTTGATTAATAAAAATTCAATTTTTATATTTATTTTACACAAAATTTTGTCTTAATTATAATCCAGTACGTAATCTTCTTATCGTCCTATCTACTCATTGGCATTGGGTGAATGGTGGCCACAATTAAGAAGTGTCAAAATCAAAAAAATATCAACCAGTTATGTACTATCCCCCATCTGATTTTGACAAGTTTATAAACTTTTAATCCAGTGATATATTTCGCATTTTTTTTTTTTATAACCTTTTATAGTTTTAGACTAAATTAATGACATATTTTTTATTATTATACGCATTACGCAGGCCACTTATTAAACCCTATTATAAGGTGTGTAGTGCAACTTTGACAAATCTAGATTTTAAAGATCATCCAAACATAAACTTTTCATAGTTGATGTTAGGTGTATACTAAGTTTTCATACAATATATGTTCACTTGTGATATTTTAACCTTCTTCATATCGACCAATATCACTTTTAACGAGTGGCTAAACTCTTAGAAAAGCTTCTTTTAAAGCGCCTCAAACCTTTAATAGAAGAAAAAAAATCTCAAACCAGATCATCAATTTGGTTTTAGAAACAAACATTCAACTATAGACCAAATTCATCGTGTAACAAACGCAATAAGTAAGGCGTTTGAAGAAAAAAATTATTGTTGCAGAGTATTCCTTGACATAGCCCAGGCTATTGATAAAGTCTGGTATAAAAAGGTCTGCTTATAAAATTGCGTGAAAAACTACTAAGCTATTGGTGAACACTATTCGAGTCCTATTTGACTGAAAGACAGTTTCAGCGTCATACATGAAAAAGCTTGAACTAATTGGAAAAATAGAGCCCAAATTGGTCTATGAAGTAGTAATAAATTATTACTAATAATTGGAGACCCTCAAATCAAAGGTAATATAAAATGGTTTAACATAAAAAATAATCAAATTAATATTGCTTTTTTATCAAGAGATGCTATTATTGTTTAAAGGACGATCACCTTGATTTATAGGACTGTATACAGTTACAGATAGATTCTTATAATTTTTTCTATTCTTAAATATAATATAACAATACAAAACAAGCAGTTTGTATTATTTATTCAATTAATGTTTCAATTTAATTTATAAGTATTTTAAATTATTAATAAAAATTATGTGTTAGTAAATTAAAACTTAACAGTGAATGTATTGTAAAAATATTCTATGTTATTGCTAATTTATGATCAATATATTGTCATTAATTAAAGATTCTTTTGATTAACATATTTAATTTAATAAATATAGATAGATGTATGTTAAAAAAAGTATAGATGATATCTGACAGTGATTAAAATAACTATCATAAAAAACGCTTCGATGCAAATCTGTAGATAATGTTTAATTTTAAAAATTTATAAATTATTCAAAAAGGAACTCTTATTTCCTTATTTATATCCTGATTATAATTTCTTAGATTTAAAAGTATAAATTATGAATAAATATTTATTATAACAATTAAATAGAGAATGAAATTGATATTTAATAATTTAGTTTTGTAATTTTTAAAGAGAAATAATAAAAAATTATAAAGTAGATATTAGTTTTACAACATGTATACAGAGTGATTTTTTTATCATAACTCGCTCAATTACTTACAGAGTAATAATAATTTAAACTTTTTTTTTATTATTATTTTTAATTATACATTATTCTTGAATTATGAACTATGCAATACTTTTTAAGTTCATCCCTTATGCCTTGTAAGGGTGTCAACTTTGTTTTTTTAAATGAAAAAAACATATTTTTAATTTAAAAAAATTTTTGAGTTTTTAATTTTATAGTAAATGGCATTTGAATTTTTTATGATATTGCAATTGGTTTTTTATGATAACAATATTCGCAGCTACATAGCATTGTTATTATCAATGGTAGTAAGGCACATTGTTGTGAGTTCATAAATACACTAACAGACTATATAAAAAGTATATCTATTTATAGTCATAATTAATAATAAACAATCCGTAACTGTGACAGCGATGTCATAAAAATCATTTAACTATCTGCATTTGTAATCCCTTGTGTATTATACATGTATATTAACTCAAAAATTTGAAATTTTAAATGTTTATATCTAATAAAGGAATAAAGTTATATTAATAATTCAAATGCCATTTACTATTAAATTAAAAACTCAAACATTTTATTAAATTAAGAATATGGGTTTCCATTTAAAAAAACAAAGTTGACACCCTTATAAGGATGAACTTAAAAAGTATTGCATAGTTAATAATTCAAGAATAATGTGTAACTAAAAATAATAAAAAAAAAAATATTTAAATTATTATTACTCTATAAGTAATTGAGTGGGTCATGATAAAAAAATCACTCTGTATAATAACCCTATTATTAGGTATATTAAAATTAATCAAAATACAATACCAATATTTTGAACACATTTCGAAATATATCTCGAAATTTTTTCTTGAGAGCTGAGAAAAAGTAGTGACAGACACAAAAAAAAAAAATTCATCAATGTAAAAATAATACCTTCTCAGCTTCACATTGAAACTAAATATAACCAAAACGATGTACAAAAACTGCAATTTTGAATCTTCTTTTTAAGCAAGTAAAGTGTCAGATTTTGAAAAAAATTCTATCAAACAAAAGGAAAATATTTAAGGTTTTAATATAAACAAAAATTATTTTAATTCGTTNATGATAGTGATTTTAATCACTGTCAGATATCATCTATACTTGTCCCATCTATGCCTCGTCCACACTGTGCCTCGACCCCACTGTGCTACCGTTTTTTTTTTAAGAAGTTATTGTGGTTTTAAGAAAAAAAAGTTTAAAAAAATTAGAAATTTACCGATTTAAAAAATCGTAATTTTTTGGGGGATTTTCCTCATTTATAGGAAACAAAGAAATTTTTTTCAATTTTTAAGGGCAATGTTTTCAATTAGATACTATTTATGATCTTTTGACGTATTTTTGAAAGAAATTGATCCGGTGAGAACAGAGAAAAAGTTGTAACGAACACAAAAAAAAAACCCATAATAGTAAAATTAATACCTCCTCAGCATCGAAGCTAAAAAAATACATTATTTAATTTTCGTAAAAAAATATACATAAAAAGTGTTTGAATTAATGTCACTGAAATATAATTTGAACTTGACTTTGATATTAATTATCTGAGTAATACGATAGATAATAGATCAAATATATTCATATCCTATCACTTTTATTTCAATTACAACAATGCACTATTGTTTTTAATATCGTTCATTGACACTCATTAAACCCGCATCGAAGCTAAAATGTAAAATATAAAATCGAGAATTTTCATACAAAAATAGCATTCATTACTTATTTTCACCATGAATACAAAATAAAGTCCGAAATTTTTTTTTATAATAAAGTATATTACATTATCTTTAATTTAAGATATATATAAAAGTGTCAGAGTTTCCAGAACACTATCAAAATTTAAGTTGAAAAAGTTGATTTTATGTGAAAAAGTTGTCATTTTGAATCCCCCTGTGGGCAGATAATGGGTCATATTTATTAAAAAAATATAAAAAATATAAAAAAATATAGGTAAAGACATCATGCATCTATAAAAAAAATTATATTGATTTAGCCATTTTTAGAAAAGTTATGGCAGTTAAAAAAAAATGGAAAAAATGTCGAAAATTAGCGATTTTTAAATTTATAATTTTTTTGGAGATTTCCTCCATTTACGGAGAACGAGGGAAATTTTTTCAATTTTTGAGGGTAATGTCTTCGACTAAATACGATTTGTGATCTTTTAACGTATCGTTGAAAGAAATCGGTTCGGTGAGAGCTGAGAAAGTGATTACAGACACACACACAAAAAAAAACTACAGCATAGTAAAACCAATACCTTCTTAGCTTCGCATCGAAGCCATTAAAAATAATTCAGCTTTATATTTGGAAAATACAATAATTTTTTAAAACAAAAAAATCTATTTTTTCAATTATTTACTTTTTTACTTTAATATAAATTTCTTTTATGTATACCATGGTAAAAAAAAGAACTAGTACTTGCATTCAACAAATAAATTTCAATCAAACAAATTTAAAAAAAAATGGTAGCACAGAGGGGTGGCGGCACAGTGGGGTCGTGGCATAGTTGGGTCCAGTATAGATGCTATCTGACAGTGATTAAAATCACTATCATAAAAAACGCTTCGATGCAAACCTGTAGTTAAGGTTTATTTTAAAAAATAAAATTTGTTTAAGTAGCATATTTTTGAATATGGTAGCCATTTGTGCATAGAAGATAGGTCGTCGGTATAAATTTTTTTTTTCATTTTATAGTACATAAAATAAGCTTTAATTTGATATATGTTTAAAGGACGCAGTATTTCCGGAACCTTTTTAAAAATTAAGTTGAAAAAGTTATTTTTTGTAAATAAGTTACAATTTTAAATCCCCCCTGTGAGCAGAATAAGTGTTAGATTTTCAAAAAAAAATGATATCAAATGAAAGAAAATTACCTAAGGTTTCAATATAAAGAAATATTATTTTGATTAGTTAATATTTGAAAAAGTTATGGCAGTTTTAAGTANAATATTATTTTTATTTGTTCATTTTTGAAAAAGTTATGGCAGTTTTAAGTACAAAAAACATCCCGATAAAATGTAATTTTTATCGCAAACATTACATTTTTTTTTAATTTTCGACAGCCATTTGCACATAGAAGACAAGATGTCGGGACAATTTTTTTTTTCATTTGATAGTATATAACATAACCTATGATTTGATGTATGTTTAAAGGCTGCAGTATTTCCGGAACATTTTCAAAAATTAAGTTGAAAAAGTTAGTTTTTGTAAAAAAGTTGC